CAAAAATTTTATGAGCGTGGAATTATGCTACTACCAGAAAGATGGCAAAAGGTGTTGGACCAGAACGGTCAATATATAATTTAATAAAGTATTTGTTTATTATACGAAAACTGTCTTTCATTTCCACAAAAAAAAACGAAATGACTTTCCGAACAACCCTATAGAAGTTGGTTCATAAACAAGCATCTGCTTTAATATGTGGTCTATCGACTTGGACAGAGGGACTAGACCACGGTAACACACTTCGTTTGTGTTGTCTTTATCTTATGATCTTAACTTAACCGAAGGTTTTGGTAGTAAAGGACAAAGGACCGCATACTAAATTTATTTTTGTTTTAGAGTATAAGTCCAGGTTTGGTGATAACTGAAATACACGAAAAAGCTCAATTGACAGGGAAAGAAATTCAATGGATACGAAACGAGCCAATATTAAACGCTGATGATGTAGCTGACGCCGTTTCGTACGTTTTAGGAACACCTCCTCACGTTCAAGTACGATTTTTATGATCAACTCTTCTATTTGCTTCACTTTTACCTTCAAACTTAATGAAATTATCAGATTTCTTTTTTAACACTACGTATCTGTTCCAGATTCAAGAATTAACAATAACTCCCATCGGAGAAAGAATTTGATTCTTTTTAAATTAGTTTGTAGAAAATTCTGGTTACAAACGTGTTGCATACAGTAATTACATGTCGTTTTAAACAATTTATATACTTGGACTTATTTTATAATCTTTATCCTTTGATAACTAACAGACATGTATTAAAACAAGCCATTATATATTAATACATACATACAAAAATATATAACACACACATATGTGGCCTCTAATAAATATAACGTTGTGACAAATACGCAGTAGTAAATGGTACCAATAACAGCACATTTGAGCAATGCAATTGTAGTAGGTAAAATGGTCAATTTTTCCGTGCAGTACTGTACGCATTATACGCTCCTCACAGGTTATGAGTTTGGCCGAGAGTTGTCACCTTCCTTTTCTGGCCTAGTGCTGTTCTTTTCTACTTTGCGCCGTTCAAACTGAAGGTCACATTGCTACAGAAAGTAAACCAAGTATAATATCGGTTTATTGTTAGTGCTCGCAATTTTCGCATCGGGGGTTAAAAGTTAGACTTGTAACCCCAAAAAAATAAACAACTAAATTTACCAGGTGGCAGGTTTCGCTCGTCGAGTAGAGAGGGTTGAAAATCTCGCCAAAAAATTAGAAGATGCTAAAGGAAAATTATATGGACTTAAAGTAGATATTACAGTCGAAGACGACATCATCAAAGCATTCGATTGGATAAAGGATAACTTGGGTCCCGTCCACATTCTTATCAATAACGCCGGTATAAGTAGGTCTGGTTCTCTAATTAGCGGAAACGCTCAAACTTGGAAAGAAATATTGGAAACTAATGTTCTTGGGTTATGTGTGGCCACGAGAGAAGCCGTCAAAAATATGAAAAGTAATAACGTAGAGGGTCACATTGTTCACATAAACAGCGTGGCTGGTCACAAGCATGTCGGTCTACCCCATATGAACGTTTACTCTGCCAGTAAATATGCTGTTACTGCTTTGGGCGATAATTTAAGGGACGAACTTCGGAAAAACAGACTTAAAATTAAAGTCTCAGTAAGTTTATAGATTACAAAATATGGATTACAGATCTTAGGTAATGATATAGACACATATAATTCTTTGTGATATACTATTGGGTTGTTCGGAAAGTCATTTCGTTTTTTCCCCACAGAGGATTTAATTGTATTCTTTTGCACCCAACTTCACATTTAAGCCGTATAATTTTTATATGCTTTGAGAGCTCATATAGCAAGGCTTGTGTGTGAAAAATTCCAATTAATTCTACGCNAACCTTCAATAAGCGGATGTTTATACCTACGGGCAAATGAGACTAATGATAACAATAAATAAACAGGGCCACCTATAGCGACAATGATAAATATAATTGGTTTTCAAATGTTTTATTTCAAAGCACTGAAGTTAAATATTTACATCTTTATAAATCTATTTGCATATCTGTTAAAAAAAGTAAAACAAAAATATTGGTATGCAAGGGAAGAAAAAATAGGGAAAGAACGAATATAAAGATAGAAGACGAAAAATTAGAAGAAGGGGCTGATTTTAGGTGGCTAGGAAGTCAGGACGGAAGGAGTAGTAGGGATATACCGCAGAGGATAGCGCAGGAGGGGGGGCGGTCGAAAAAGGAGGTCTCCCCCACCACTGTACCATAAAAAGGTCGTGGCGGTCTCACCCACATAAAAAGTTATAGGGGGTTTCAAAGTTAATAAATATGCCAATTCTTATACATTTCTAGGCAAGTAAATATTTATATAGTCATTCTTAAACAATATTTAAAGGTAAAACTAATGAAAAATACATAAAAATATTGAGAAAGTTATATAAAACATTATTTAAATNGTAAAATTGCAATCATGAGTCGTTGGGTGGGAAAAGTCGCTGTTGTTACTGGGGCTAGTGCTGGAATTGGGGCTGCAATAGTCGAAAAACTAGTTCAAGAAGGACTTATTGTAAGTAAAAATTCAGACTGAAAATAGATGCATTCTATCAATACGTAATTCCGATATGATCAATAAATTATTTTTTTTACCAGACGCAGTCTCGTTACTTCACGGACAAACCCTGTATAATATAATTATCTATAATTTTTAAATTGCACTTGTTCTAACCAATCGAATACGTATGAAAATAACTGCTACTTCGTTGTTTTTGATAAAATAATGACATTGCGTAAATTATACTCATAAAATATTTAATAAAACTGTTGCAATTATCATCTAAGCGCTAATTACAATTTATAGGTGGTTGGGTTTGCTAGGAGAAAAGAAAGAGTTGAAGAACTAGCGAAAAAATTGCAGAAAGCTAAAGGAAAACTGTACGCGGTCAAAGTTGACATAACAAAAGAAGACGAAATAATTGAAGGATTCAACTGGGTGAAAAAAAATGTGGGGCCGGTGCATATTCTTATAAACAATGCGGGAGTTGCGAAAAACAATAGCCTGATTGATGGTGATTCTCAGAAATGGAGGGACGTTTTAGATACCAATGTTTTCGGATTGTGTGTGGCCACCAGGGAGGCGATCAAAGACATGAAACTTAATAACGTAGAGGGACACATCATACACATTAATAGTATTGCCGGTCACAAGGTTGTTAATTTCCCGAAATTAAATGTGTACGGTGGGAGTAAATATGCTGTTACAGCCCTGGCTGAAACACTGAGAAATGAGCTTTTGCATGAAAATTTAAAAATCAAAGTAACGGTAAGTAATCAACATTTTTATTGTACAGTTTGATGAGAGTATATAAATTTAAACACTTGTTCTTTGAAATAATTATTAAAAACTAAGTGTTAGGGTTTAAAATGTTCTTTGATCTTCCATAGAATGGTCTTCCTGCCTGTCCAACGTATCCAGATTTTTACATTTCTAAATGTTCCCACTTTCTTTACTACATCCCTATTATTTTTAAACCCATTATTTAAAAACTAATTGTTTTATATGATATTTATAATCAACGTGTAATGAAGGCCAAAAGAAATCTTCCTAACTCAACAATTTAGGGTTTAGTTATTATTAACCGTAGAAATATTTCAGAGTGTTAGTCCAGGACTTGTCAAAACTGAAATATTTGAGACTGCAGACTCAATAGAGAAAGCAGCAATCGAAGGAAGACCGGCATTGACCTCGGAAGACGTAGCCGATGCTGTCTGGTACGCCCTTGCAACCCCTCCACACGTAGAGGTAAAACTATAATTATTATTCAAACACATTTATAATTTCAAATTTTTCAGATTCCAGAACTCACAATTAAGCCTCTTGGTGAGACTTTCTAAATAAAAAAATATTTCATTGTATTACATGCAGTAATCTTAATAAATCTTAAATCAAAATAATTTTAATTATACTTTGAAACTATCCTTGTTAAGTGATTGTTAACAGATGTTAATCATCACTTGAGTGTTTGGGTTCCAATCACTACACAATATTAATACATATCTTTTTGTTATATTTAAACTTTTTATTTGTTGATATCTATGAAAAACCTTCAATAAATGAATTTTTCCTTGTTGAAAACAAATATTTATTCGAATAAAATTGTAATTTTCAAACAATATGAAAAACGTATAAATATTTGTATACTTAGTTAAATGTAAATAATGATAGGAATAAATAAACAGCGCTATCTATACCGACAATGATAAATATAATATGTTTTCAAATTTATTACTTTAATGTACTTAAGTTACACAATTTCCACCTTTATAAATGTCTTTGCTTGTTGCTTCAAATTTCATTACCGTATAAACTTGTCGTTGCGATGGATCGTTGGGTAGGAAAAGTGGCGGTAGTGACCGGTGCTAGTGCTGGTATTGGTGCTTCAATCGTCGAAAAGTTGGTCCAGAAAGGCATAATCGTAATTAACAATTATTCTACTCCACAATTTTTTAAAAAATTTTTAAAAAAATTACGACTTCGAATGCGATGAATCAAATTCGATTACTGATTTTTTTTATTTTTTGAGCCATGTATACTTCATTTACTTGCTGTAGCGATGTGCCCCTTCCAATGTCTTGGATGCGCGCTGGCAAAATCGTAGATAGGGAGAAAAAAGCTCATTATACTCTCGACTCTTGTTCATTAAACGTACTTTTTCGTACAGTACCTGCCAAAAGTTTTGTTCAATCATGAATAGTAGTGCGAGTCGAAAACAAGCGTTAAAGCCTTTAATATGTCTTCAAATATAAATAAACATCTCGTTGATATTTTCAGTAGTAAATGGTACCAATAACAGCACATTTGAGCAATGCAATTGTAGTGGATAAAATGGTCAATTTTTCCGTGCAGTACTGTACGGATTATACGCTCCTCACCGGTTAAGAGTTTGGCCGAGAGTTGTCTCCTTCCTTTTCTGGCCTAGTGCTGTTCTTTTCTACTTTGCGCCGGTCAAACTGAAGGTCACATCGCTACAGAAAGTAAACGAAGTATTGATACTAACCATTAAACCTATCTTTATAAAACCTACAACAAAGAGCGAAACGTCGGCTGTTGGTTTAAAAAATAAAACAATTTTCAACCCATTCGAATTTGGTAATAATAAAATGCGGTATCAATATTATTTTTTGACCTTTTCGATAAACAAATTACAACAATTTGCACATAATTGAATATACAACAGGTTGCCGGATTCGCTAGAAGAAAAGAAAGAGTCGAAGAACTTGCAAAGAAACTGCAAGGAGCCAAGGGCAAACTTTACGCGGTGAAAGTTGACGTGTCAAAAGAGAAAGAGGTAATCGAAGGATTCAACTGGGTAAAAAAGAATCTAGGACCCGTGCACATCCTTATTAATAACGCCGGTATCATAAGAAATAACACCCTGATTGATGGAAACTCTCAGCAATGGGAAGAAGTTTTAGTCACAAACGTTTTCGGTTTATGCGTGGTGACTAGAGAAGCTATCAAAAGCATGAAAGAAAATAACGTCGATGGTCATATAATCCACATTAACAGTCGCTCGGGTCATCGCGTTCCCAACATCCCAAATATCAACGTATACCCTGCCAGCAAACATGCGGTTACGGCTTTAGCCGAAACGTTGAGGCACGAAATCACGCGAAATAATCTGAAGATTAAAATAACGGTAAGATTTTCTACATTTATTACCTACAGGAATGTTATAGTTGATGTATTTATTATGATGTAGAGCATAAGTCCTGGATATACAGAAACAGAAATAATCGAAGCTGCCGGTCTTCCCAAGAATAATTACAAGGACATTCCCGCGATTAAAGCTGAAGATGTTGCCGAAGGCGTTTTGTACGCTTTGGGAACCCCTCCTCATGTGCAGGTTAACTTCAGTTGTAAACTATAACACTAATACATATCGGTTGTCTTTCTTATTTTTAATTATTTCATTAAATACGTGCCCAATTAACGATTTATTTATGTTCAATTAATTATTTTTCCTTTTAGGTTGGCGAGGTTACTTTGTTTGCTGTGGGTGACAAGTCTTAAGTTTATTAATTTTTTTTTGTAATTAATTGTTTGTTGAATAAATAAATTGCACACTAAAATTATCTTTACTTTTACTGATTCGTAGTACACGGTACATCCAGGGTAAGAAATCGTATGTATTATTTATTAGAAATTCGAAGAAGATTCCTAAAGATGTCTGTTTCGAGCGCGGCGCTGTACGGGTGCGAAACATGGACGATGAACGCGGCGACAAATAAACAGCGTCAAATACTTTTTGGTTTGTTCTTGCTTGGCAAAAGACTTTTAATTTAATGTTTTTTTTGAGCAAAATTTTTCCTTTGTTATCGTTAAAATATTTGTAAATGTTTTACATTTTTTTAATAACTTAAACTTTAGTAAATGCATAAATAAACAAATATGTAAATGTAGTCCGTCTATCATCGGTACAAAATTGGTACATCTGAATTATTTATTGAAGACTGCAAACTAACACATGTTTACCTACCATTTCATCAGCGGAATCAGTTATAATTGGGGAGGCCGAATCTAACGTCAGTAAAAAGGGTGGTAAGGTGTGTGTGTGTGTAATTAAAATATGTAACCCGTTCGCTGTATAACAATATTCATGCGCCACTCCAGTTTGAACGAAATTGTTATCTTTCCATTTGCAGCATTCTTGCTTTTCAAAATGCATTCTTAACATAAATATATAAGGCTGTTTTAAAAAAAGAACACTTTTAAACACTTTGTTGCAATGGATCGTTGGGTTGGAAAAGTCGCTGTAGTGACTGGTGCTAGTGCCGGCATTGGGGCTTCCATCGCAGTAAAACTGGCCCAAACTGGCATAATAGTAAGTACATGCCACATAAACATCTACCACTCTTCTTTTATGGTTCAACAAAGTGTAAAAACACAATTATATTATATTTGTGGTATTATCTAAAACGAACTGTTAAGACAAATGAATTTTTCCTTGTTGAAAACAAATATTTATTCGAATAAAATTGTAATTTTCAAACAATATGAAAAACGTATAAATATTTGTATACTTAGTTAAATGTAAATAATGATAGGAATAAATAAACAGCGCTATCTATACCGACAATGATAAATATAATATGTTTTCAAATTTATTACTTTAATGTACTTAAGTTACACAATTTCCACCTTTATAAATGTCTTTGCTTGTTGCTTCAAATTTCATTACCGTATAAACTTGTCGTTGCGATGGATCGTTGGGTAGGAAAAGTGGCGGTAGTGACCGGTGCTAGTGCTGGTATTGGTGCTTCAATCGTCGAAAAGTTGGTCCAGAAAGGCATAATCGTAATTAACAATTATTCTACTCCACGGACGGTGTGCGCGGCGGAAAAGAAAAGGTTAGAAGCGTTCGAAATGTGGTGTTATAGGCGGATGATGAGGATACCGTGGATAGAGAAAGTTAAAAATGAAGAGGTATTGGAAAGAATAGGAGAACAGAGGACTCTATGGAAGTCAATAAAAAATAGGCGAGATAGGTTGGTAGGACACCTTCTCAGGCATGAAGGTCTAGTCAGAG